TGCACGCTGAATGTTGATTTTATTTAATCGAATATTTTTTTTATTCTATTTTTTTTAATTTTTTTTATCACCAGTATTCAATTTGCCAAGAATTCGGTTATAACCACTGCAGATAAAAAAAAAAAGCTATTGTTTCGGAGATGCTCTGTCTGAACAGTCATCACAAATCTTTCTTACTTTAAACCCTCATAAAACTTTTGGTGATCAAATATTCATTATGCTTGAAAATATCCATGGCAAAATGAGGGGCTGAAAAGGGGATGTACATGCACAAAGAAGCAAAACTAAATCATAAAGAACTTACGAGCCAAAGGTATAGGAATGAAGTCCATGCATTTTCGACACATAATAGATCCACACAGGCGACAGTGATGGCGACGATTTCTTATGTTAAACTTGTTTCCACAGTCCGGACAGAAAGGGACATCAGCATCATTCACCCAAGACACCACTGAACGCTCAATGGCTATAACATAGACAGAAACAAATGTATTATTTATCATTAAAAGTTGTCAATGAACTGGAATAATATTGAAAACAAACCTCGTATTTTGGCAGTGTCTGAGTTGGTCCTGTCAAATGACGTCAACTAACACAACATATGGAAAAAAAATATTACAGTAAAATTATGATTCCATTGCGCAAACAGACATCAGTACAATCAAATATGGCATGGAAGTCATTAAAATTCACAAAAAGGGAAATAGTACAACTCACATCAAGAGTACAAATATCTGAGGCAACATTAATAATTATTTACTAGTTGTAATAATTGCATAATGTATGGTATCATGCCTCATCACATAAAATAAGCATACCTTTTCCAGTCTAATTATAAGCTTATTGACTTCAATCACATAGTGGTCTATTCTGTCGGCTCTGAGCTTCTTAAAATGGTCCAGGTGACTTCTGGTTGCTCCTGTAAATAGTATAAAAGTAATCAGTTTCAGATTGTTTTATAATCTGAAACTGATTATAACTATAACATTTTTTTTTTTTTGCATTTGTGAAAATCCATACCAAGCTCTTGAGGTTCCCACATGTACGGATCCACTCCTCCATAATAGAAGGATTCGTAAGTGCCACTGTCAGGCCTGTCCTCTCCATCTCTCTTCAACAGTTTGTCTTTGGCTTTTTTGGCTTTCTGAACCAAACCTGTGATCAGAATCAGAATATCATCACTATATTTTGGGAGGTAAACCTGTTTAGATTAATACTACAATGCTGTTTTTGACACATTCCTAACAAACTACTATATAGACTATGACGAAGGCTGCAAGATTAAACAAATGTCAACAAGCCATTTTCCATTGTTATAAAAGTTGTAAAATAATAAATTGTAAACCTTTATCATTGCTAGTACACGTTCAATAGTAATATTTCTCAGTGAGAGTTGTAGTGTTTTTTCAGGAATCTGAGATTGAAAGGACAACTTGTATTTAATATGATGTTTGGACCAAATAGTAAATAAAAGCTGAATGAACATATTTTTTCTGTAGGACATAAATACAACCTACTTTTAAGTTGTCCTCTAACATGGCGATCATCTCCAGAGTGCTCTTCTTCATAGTGGTCTTGAAGCTGGTAGAATGACTGTAAATCCTTGAGACACAGTGGACAAAGGAACCCCTCTTTAACTTCTCCTGTGCCTTCAAACGGTGGGGGGTAACCTGAAGCCATTGCTGACTGGTTTGTGACTGAAGGAGTTGAGGATAGCAGGATCCTGCCTTGGACAGCCTCCAAGCGTCACTGCACTGTGCCCACAACCAACTCCATCCCTCCAACTGTAAACCTAAGGTTTAACAACAACAAAAATTAAATACCCTTAATTCAGAAAATGATAGAGTTGATTTTGAATTCTGTCTATAAAGAATAAGAATGTCTACAATGCCAAATTTAGTCTGTCTGTTACAAGTTACTAAAACATACTTTCTTAATGTTGTATTAGCAGTATTAATACTGTAACTATAACAAGTTATGCTGCTTGCAATAACTTGAAACTTGAAAATAAAAAATAATGTTTTGCATTCGCATATAATCTTTTAAAAGGTCTTTACATTTCAGAGAACCCCTGGAATAGAAGATATAACGTTTATTCACTAGATAAGTGCATTCAGAACAAGCTGCATCACCTAACCAACAATTACCTTTATGTTGAGTCTAGCATTTTTATTTTCGATTGCATACAAAATCATGTTCAGCACGTGTATTTGTCCACATTTTACGAGTTGAACAACCACAACTTTGATAGCATTTTTGGCCGATGTAATAGCTCTCTCTCTTACATAGTGGCTACACCCAGTTAGCACAAACATCGCTCTCTGTCTCTAATATGTTAGTATTTATTTTGCACAGATACGAACGAAAGCAGATCTCATCATATCATCTCCTAATAGGTTGTTGTTACTTACAGAGGTGTCAGTAGTAAGCAGGATATTGAAGATTTGGTTTGTGTTTGACAGATCAACACCACCAAATAGAGCAGCAGAGCAGCCCTGCCTGTGGTCATGTGATCTGCACACAGCCCGTCCAGGCCTACGGGGAGCGCAGAGGACCATACGAGACGAAAAGCAAACGTGAGTTTTTGCAACAAGCATGGACCATGGTAAAAAGTGTGGGTCTAGGAAACGTGTAATCAAATGTTCATTTGGTGTGTGCAGTGCTTGATTCAATTGTTAGTTTTGCTTTTCTTATCAGTAGAAGTCACTACACGGGGCAGTTTTTAGCTGCTTCTTTTTTTTTTTCCACCTTTGTTGATGTAAGTGTTTGGTTATTTTTATTAATTTTTTTCTAAAATGTTGTATTAATACACTTTCATTTAATAAATTTATTCTCTAAACGTATTAAAATGCATGTATACATTAACTTGATTAAAAGTTTGTAGCAAAAACTCAAATAAAGCCTTGTGATTCTGCACAGCCTGTCAAATACTCTGGCATTATTGACAAAGATAATGTGATGTGATAAAGACTGAAATGTGCTTTAACTTTTTCTTCTGTTACAGCTTCACCTGCTGTGTCTAATGGTGAAGATCTAGCACATACAAGATCCACTTCCCTGAAAATGTCTGCTCATTTACAGGTAAGTTTATATAATTATGTATTTGAAAAGGAGAATTGTTAAAGGTGCACATAGTACAATTACATTACCATACTGTGGAACATACCAAGCAAACCAATAAAATCTCTAACAGATAGCAAGTCGAGACCCTCATTAGAACAGTTATAGTGCACCTTTAACATATTTTTGTAATAATATAATAAGAGCTTTGTGTATGTGTTATTCAATCACTGCTCAGATTATGTGACATCTAAATACTCAGAACAGCCAAACCCACAACTTTTTCCTTGACACCTAATTAGGTCTATTGATAACTTTTTACTTTTATGGTAGTGATGGTACTCTCAAAACATGGCTCCACCAGCTGCTGCATGTGTGAAAATGTCTTTGTTGTGTACTCATGGTTTTATAATTTTTTAGCTCTCTTTGAACATGGTGGAAAATGACGCTACAGCATCTGGTGCTCCCTGCTTCGTTTAACGCCTAACTAACCCACACTATCAATATAGGCCCTATTTCATATTTCATTTCTATTTACACATAGGATAGTGTACTAGTTTTGATTTTTATTATTGGGTCTCCAAATAGCGATCATTGCTTTTGAAGGATATAAAGACACTCTACATCTACAAGGCTGCAGTTTAAATTGCAAGTTTTGACTGTAAAAAAATACAGTTTGGTTGTTTTAGTTTATCAGTGAATTTCTACAGCAGTTTGGTTTTAATTTTATTTTAAGGCAAAAGGTGCCAAATCACAAATTTAAATTAATTACACAATAAAAGCTGCAAATAAAAGACACATTTCTTGCTGTTGTAGTCATTATATTTTACATAATTACAAAAAAATAATCCAAGACAATCTTTTTTATGGAGGAATTTGTCACAGTAACAGTGGCCGTTTGATCACTCACTCATTATTACTGTTTCCAATAAACAAATTTCCTCATAGAGGGGACAGAGTCATTGCTCATCCTTTTGAAAATTGTCTAATAATAATAGAACAAACTTTTATGAGCAGAAATAAAAAGAAAATGGCAGTTATGGACATATTTACATTACAACATTAGTCCAACTATATTTATATTTGGATTACACTGCACACTATCCAGATAAACACAAAATGCTAGATTTTAAGTGATATTGATTGCGCGTGTCCCTTGACAAAAAACAAAACAAAACAACAAAAAAACATGATAAGTTAGATTAAATTTTTCGTCACCAACAACCCCTTATGGCCTTTCACACATTGATATAGTTTACAGTGCAGCTACAGACATTACAACTAATTCCTAAGAGATCTACTCTGAATCCACTAAATCTTCTTCGGATGCAAATCTTTTCCCCGGATGCTGCCGCTTCTCTTCGACGTGACTAGTGTTGATGTTGTCTAAAAAGTCGAGCAACAGTCGATTTTGGGAGCTACTACAACCATTGGAGTCCAAAAAGTCACAGGGAGGGTTGCTTCCTAAAAACGGATTGGAGTTATCCAAAAAGCGTTTCCCTGGATGCTGGCGCTTTTCAAGTTCCGCCAGTTCTTCTCCCTCTGAATCAAAGTCGGAGTCTGCGTCTGGGAAGAAGCGCTTCCCGGGATGCTGGCGCTTCGTGTGCAACATCAGGTAGCGCTTTCCCGGGTGCTGTCTTTTCGAAAGTTCGCTCAGGACCAGGAGCGGGTTGTCAGATACGAATCCTGTCGCGGTACGCTTCCCGGGATGTTGCCTCTTTTGGGGTTCCAGGTATGAGTACATTTCTTCTTCACGTTTGCCCGGATGTTGTCTCTTATTAACGTCCAAATACGGTGCGTCCACGTCCAAGTCTTCTTCTGTGTACCTTTTCCCCGGGTGCTGTCTCTTTGTCACCCAGCCTGGCTGGGAGGTACCCTCTGCAGAAAAAGCGCGCGTTAGAATGTGTGAGATCTGTGCGTAAAAGTGTATGGCGCGTCCTGTTACGCACAGACGGGAGCAGAACTAGGACCACTATATTTTGGATGTTTTGACACAGAATAGCGTGTTCCAAAAATTCCCAAATGTGAATGTAAGTACTTATTTTTATGCAAATTGATTTGGTTCAGAAAAAATAATGATGTGCCTCAAGAAATATTTTCCATAGGATTCATAAAGTGTGACTTGTTACTTACCGTATCTTTCGTCATCTCCCTGTATCTTCTTGAGGATGGACCGTAACAAGAGGCTCTCTGCTTTCTGTAGAATGATGTCGTCTATGGTCCGATGGTCCGGGTCATCCTCTGTAAGACTCTGTCCATTACAATGCGGCAGGTTACAAACTGCCAAAGACGCCAATACGAGCAGATATGTTGATTTCATGGTTGGACCCCTGTCTGGAAAAAAAAATAATTGTCACTGAATGTACAGGCTATTTTAGAGTCACTCAGTGAGACGCTCTGAAGTAATTTAATACCCAAAAATATATTGTTAGAGCAATGCGTAAAGTTGTCTTAAGATGTAAATGTGACTCACCCTTATCCTTATGTCTTCGTTCAGTGCGCACCAGCAGCAGTGGGGTTTGCTCGCGTTTCAGTGCCGTTTTTGATGACCCTTAAAGGGCAGGTCTGGAGGTATGAGAGGCTAACTTTTTCTCTGAGTATTTATACCCACCGTCCAATGGCGTCACACACGCGCTCTATCTATTTCTCTTCGTCTTCATTGATGTCACCAGAGTCGTGCGCAACTGGCGCCTTCTTAAACAATCAGCCTATAGGAGACGCTCCCCAATTTATCATGTAAAAATAACAGCTTTGATTTAACTTCAACTTAATCCTTTCACAGAAACCACAATTACGTTCCACATTGTTTTTGATCCAAAGGCCTATCTGGAACCGTTTTATAATAAAGATTTATTTAACACCACTGACATTTTTGCTTCCTATAGGACACTGCTAAAAGGCTATAGGCCTAGTCTATCCACAGTGCACCATATCCTTTAATTAACAAGACTCTACGTACTTTTGCTTTAATTATTGCTTTAATGTGGTAAGTTGCGCTAAGTGACAGGATTTTATTTAGCCTACACATAAATAATGACAAAAGGACACATTAACTGCAACATCTGCAATTTGCTGATTGTGATCATTCAAACTGTATTATATTCTAATTAATATCACCTACTTTTGATACAGTTTATGAATTAATCTCCATCTCCTCTGTGCAGTCCTCAGTCCTCTCAGTCCATGGTGAATGTCTGGATATTGAATTGAGCGTGTAATGCTTTAATAAGATGCCTTCAGCTCACTGTCACGTTCAATGTGTCAAACAGCATCAGACTCCTGCCAAGTCAAACACATGGATTTCAGTAGAAATGTGCCCCATCATTGATACTTTTAGACTTACACAGTCTATGACCCGATAATAGCAATAGCAATGTTGTACTTCATGTTGCACTTCCAATGGAATCAGTTACTAAAAAGTGTCAATATCTTAATGTAGTATTGGTGGTTGTGGTAGTACTGCTATAAAGGGCCAATTTTAAAACATGGGGGTAGTTATTTTTAACCCTACTCTGGCTTTAGTAAAGTTATAGGAAGTATTTGAGGGGAAATTTATTTAATTACACACTTCATCTCTAATCACTTGCACTGGCCTTTAATGAACACACAAAGAGACATAGGTACAAAACAACCTGTTACATTTTGAAGGGAGTCAATCTTACAAGCATCTGTCTCTTTCAGTGCACTAAATAGCGTGAGTTACAGTTAATCATAATACAATTAAAGTCATTACCTTTACAAGTGATTGTGCTGTAAACCTGTTTAGACATTTTAGTTAATGAATTAATGTAGCAGGTGTCCGCATTTATGTTCTTTGTGAAGAATTTGTATAGCAAAAATACTAGGCCTCTTACTTTGATTTATAGATTATGATGATTATTATTATTGTATTTTATTATTTTCTTTAAATAGCTCAAGCACAATTATTAAATGTTTATACCCCTACAAGACAGCACAGAATGCGTTGATGTTTCTCATGTAAAATGTATCTCACAGACAAATTATATATATAAAACACAATGGCAATAGCAATCTGACTAAAATGCTGATTTTATCTCTTGTATGACTGGATGTGCGAAGCTTGTGATCTCTAGACCCTCATACTCCATTGTCACTTGAAGATCTGACAAGCACATGCAAATGATGCAATATACATCTTATTGAAATTGTAGAGCCAATTGATCTAGATTGTTTTCATTATGCTACAGTGTTAAGTCGAGAGCTGGGGGCAAGGAACTTTCTGTATGTCTCTCTTTAAATCCTATATATAGCAACTGTGAAATCTCCTCTTTTTGAAGAAATTATAAAAACCTAATTTGTCCTTTTTTCAAAATTAAGTTTTTCAGAGTTTTTATTTAATTTGGAAAAGTAATCATTCCAGAGATAAAATGTGTTGCTGCAATAAAAATATTCATTTGCTTGTATAATTTTTTATTTGCTCCTTTGGTTTGTGTTTTCTGCATTTATATTGTGTCCAAACAATAAAATGAGCCATTGAGTTCTGTTATATTTTAGAGCCTTGTAAACACCACTGTTTACAAGCCTAATTGTTAAAAGCATGTTATTCTGTCAGTGTCTGTAGCCCCTTGCCTTAATGAGAACAATTATCAAAGGCCGTAGAGGTTATACTGTACGTTGTTTTAAATTAATAAGACTCATTAGGCACTGCTCTTTGTTTACTCTTTCTCTTTCTGTTGAGAGAATTCAATCAAAGTAAATCAGTGTTTCAATGGCATGACAGACTACCACCAAGGCACCACCTGAGATACAAGAGCCAAAAAGCATAAAAGTGATTCACCAATGTTTTATTTTAATTTTTTTTTTACTTTTTTATAAATCCTCCCTAATTTTAATAAAACACTTCTTTGATTGAGGTAATATTAAATACCTTTCATATTCCCAGTGCTTGAAGTATATTTAGTCTCTAAGTTTTCCCTAAGTGGCCAATATCTGGTATAAAAATTTATTGCAAATCATCATCATTGGACTCTAGATTCCTTGGGCTTTTATAGTTCAAAAAAGGCACAGTATGACCATGCTGACTTCTTGCTTTTCCTGGTTTGTACTGTATTATTGCTGAAGATTCAAGCTATTTTGCTCACTCTGAAAGTACAGAAAGATCGTAATAGTTCACCGACTTTGGATTGAACCAAGAACTTTTGACACTGTAAACCGTTTAGGTCTGCAGAAGTGAAATGCCTGGACATGTCACAGGGATAGTGGAGGTGTGTGTGTACGCGTTTGTATGCGTGTGTGAGTGTGTGCGCGTGCATGTGTGAGTGGGAGGGGGGCAGACAGGATGAAGGCTCAGACATGGAGAAGCAGTGACACAGACAAACAAACTGGAGCAGAATGCGTGGATGTCAGCATCGGCGCAGCCTGCCCTGGCACTGACAGTGGCCTGACAGAGGTCACTGCTGTGGGGACAGACTGACAGGTGCAGAGGGGTGGTGCTGGAGTTCCAAACGCAGTGTAAGTAGATGGGTGACTGGCTGTGTATGATAATATGAAGGTACTGATGCAGCACAGATGAGTTCAAATTGATTCAGAATTAAACAAGTGTGGCAGTTAAGTCATGGGTCCAAGTCACTGAAGTTTTTTTGGTCAAGTTGAGTTGAGTCTTAATCACCTCATAATTTCAGTTTTAAGCAACAGAAGCACTGGCAGTTATTTTGATGTACATTTTTTATTTCTTTACAGTGATGAATTGGACAAGTGACCTGTTCAAAGTGCTTAAGATTTGGTTTGAGAGTTCCACTATTTACTGTGGATGTTTAAAGTGGAAGTTTGAAGATGAGCTCCAGTGTTCAGTGAAGCAGTTGTTTATCAAACTTTTCCTTATTGCCCCTAGGTGTGGTATTTCATTGATTTCCAACTTCAAAAAATAAAAACCTAAAACACTGAGATATGAGATTTTCAGAGAAGTGAAATAGAATTTAATTTTGGAATGAGCAGAGAATAGCAGAGCATTGACTGGGAGACCAAAGATAGCTAAAAAGACAATATATGAGTTGGTGTTTTGAATAGAAGCCCACAGTTGACTAGGACTGGGTATCATTAAGGAGTTGCCGTTACGATACATACCTCGATGCACAGGCCACGATATGATACATATCTTGATACAGTGCACTTTCGATTCAATATGATATATTTCAAATCGATTTGATACGGTTTGGTAAAAAATAAAGGCTAAATCGTGGCTGTGATACTAAAAGGCTTTGTTAAATTACTTCTTGTGCAAAGTTCATCTGAAACACAAACATTTTAATCCTCAAAACAGTAAAAATGTCATATGTGTTGCATAAATGAGCTTCCTTTCACTCCACAATTAACAAAACTATAGCACTGTAACAAAATAATTTAGTAAAACACACCTAAAAATACTCTTTGTGAAATATTGATACAGCAGCCCACGATATCGATACTGTATCATCACATTAAACGATACAATATATCGATATTCCGATATTTTTGCACACCCCTACAGTTGACTGAAATATATGCATATCATTAAAGGTGTCAAAAATGTCCAGTAAGTTTGAGAAACTACAGCCTGTTCCTCTGACCTTTAAATTTCAGAACCTTCCATTTATATTTTTTGTGTCAAGTACAAAACAAGTAGTACAGTGGAGAGGAGAAGATCACTTTGCATTCTTTATTTTAAACTTTCATTGTTGAGTTGAGATTGTGTTTAGGGCTCTGATAATCCCATTATATCTCAATAACCTGTGAGGTGCTGTGAGTTTCTGCTCTTTCTGACTGTGATTAGTGCTGGAGCTGCTCTATGTGCTCACTCCCCCTCCTCTTCTCTCTGTAACAATAATAATATAGTCATTGGTCTTACAGTATATTTTCACTTTTATTTATAGACATTGTCAAAGTTTCAGAGCTTTTAACCATGTTAAATCTGTTTTCCCTTCTCATTATTCCCTTGATGTTGTATTTAGAATGATTCGTGAATATTTATTGTGAGCTGTGTTTATTCTGATGTTCAGAAAAATCCAGTTTTCTCCTACTATTTATACACATCCAGGATCTTTTAATTGTACTTTTCCAGTAAAAAAATACTGATACACAACATTAGCCAGGCTTGCGCCACCTAGTGCCTCCGTTCAATTTCATTTCTTTCCAGCGACTAGGTCAAGAATCGGAATACACTAGACGGTTCGCAAAAACCCCAGAAGTGTGAGTTCGGGCACCAGCCAATCAATGAAGAGCCATACATTCTGTGTTGGCAACAATTCCCGAGATCGGGGATTTAAACCCGGAACAAAGAGAATGTTTGGTGAATTTTATCAAGGAGAAAGACGTTATTGCCCTTCTTCCTACGGGATTTGGGAAAAGCTTAATATACCAGTTAGCCCCGTTAGCGGTGCATTACATACGTTACGACCAAATAGCCGTGATTGGTTAAATGAAAAAAAAAAAAAAAACCGCCTGCCGTCGAGTGAACGAATTTGAACACTGCGAGGTCAGGCGGTTTCTACAAAGTGAAACTGGCTGATGAATCAGGCTAACACATAGGATTGAGGAGAATAGCTTTT